CGGTTTGAAACCCGGATTTCGTCGTAGGTGGCGGTTTGAAACCCGGATTTCGTCGTTGTTTTGGTTCCGACCTACAATGAACTTTGTCCTCAACATGGATTCCAGTGGATTCCAGCAAGAGTCAGTGTCGCAGTGTTACCTACACCAAACTTTTGGGTCGCTAGCAAACACAAATTTCATTGTTGTCAACCCTGCGGACTACAAAGACCCATGACCACTTTAAAGAACCTACAATGAACTCTGAGTTTTTGAAAATTCCAAGTTCGGCGTAGGTTTATTTAGCCTTTATGTCGGTCTTTGTAGTCAACCCCCTGGACAACAATGAACTTTTGGGTCGCTAGCAAACACAAATTTCGGCGTAGGTGGCATAAGAATCTCTCCCTGAACCTCCCTGCCAATTGTTTTGAGCTTGGGCCAGACCATTGCTGTGAAATCTCACCAGGCTCCTCACTGTGCAGGTGCAGGTTCAACCTCAGGTTGCTGAGCTTGCTGGTGTCCCCACTGCCACCACTAAGTGCCAATCTGGTCACACTGTAAAGTGATAAAGCGATATTCTAGCGGCTTTTTCAACGCTTTCCCATGTGGCGGAAAATGCCCACAGATCCCAGGAGTGGCACCAATAGGTAGTTTGCATTCTGAAGAAACACATGGTTGCCAAAACCATGGAACTGAGTGAATAGTAGACTGATTCGGCTTGCCACACCTATGGATTGTTTCTGGGGCGACGCCAAACTGCTCGCAAGGGAACGCTAGGTGAAAGGGTTGCTAAAACAACTGGATGTGGTTCCTCTCTCGCAAGAGGCGTCACTTCGATGACTGACAACCGGTCCTCATGCCAAGTAAGAGGTGGTGGTTCATCTCGTGGTAGCGTACCATCAGCCAAGGCATTCAAGTAGTTTGCTGCGCTCTGACAAGTTGGGTTGCCCCCCAGCAGTCGCACAAAGACCTTTGCCAAGCCCTTCCAGTTCTGTTTGGTTGGTGCTGCGACAGTTCGGAGAGGAATAATGCCTTGATGGAGCTCCAAACAAGATCAACAACCCAACAAAGTACATCTGGAAAAATATAGTGATTTGGGAAAGCTTGGAGTAACATATATTGCATTAAAAACGCACATAAGACTTGACTCAATGTGGACAGCTGCGGGTTGTAGTCAATGGAAATGTGACCCGGTTCTCGGGTGTCATAACCAATAGTGGTGCTTGTCGCAGACCAATGCTTGATATGTACTCCTTCACAAGAACAAAAATATCTTCCGGATGCTTTGGACGTCGTTTGCTGGTCCCCTCATCCTGTTCAAAGCTCTCTGGCAAGTCTGTCAGGGTTGAGCAGAGTCAGTCTTGCAACAAATTTCAATCCTGGCGTCTTGCAAAACAAAACATATCTCTTTCTTTGTGTAACTACCAGCCCCTTTTCTGCGCAGGAAGAAGAAGAAGTGGTTCGCCGTAGCGTCCAAAAGAAGTCCACCTTCCTCATTGTTGGGGTTGCTTTCGCGCAAAAGAACAGAGAAAAGCCTCCAATCAAAAGATGTCACCAAGAATCCAAAGTTGTTGGAGCATATGTGTCATTGTGCAATTTCCAGTCTCGGTACTTCCTCATTATTCTGATGTTCACTGTCCCACCGATCCATGAAGCCAGCGCAGGTTTTGATAACTCGTCCTCCAAAATACTCTTGACGGAATCAATGTCGACCATGCTTGTAGAGCTTGCCAGCCTTCTGCTGAGCAAACCCCACAATTGATCTTAGTTCCAGAATGGGTTTGCAGATAGTGTCACTAGACATGATTCTAAACAAACATGTCCAAAACAAGTACAATGTGATCTATCCTCAAAGCCAAAGCACCAATGACATCGTGAGTGTGTGACACTCTCAGCATCATTACGCATGTGTACCTGGAGCACTTCATTGAAAGGAGAACTCCACAGTGCTTGGAGAAAAAAGACTCCAAGAAAATGTGATGTCATTTCTATTTGGTACAAACACCAATGCCAAGATAAAAAGATACTGAAGCACAGACCCGGGAAACCGCAATTTGCAATGGTTCACCAGGGCCGCAGCGTATGACAGCCAAACAGTGTTCTTTATAGCTCCTTTACGGTGTTGTCCCCGATCACGCAGAGCGTGTCGGGGCACACCTCTCCACGAGATCGACATTGGGCCATGACCTTCTCTATGCAAATCATCAGGAGCTCTTGCACCATGGCGGATCCAGACTGCTGGGTTTCTTCTAGAAGCGCCAGCTGTAATGTATGGCCGAAAGCCCAGCATCCGTGGATTTTGATCTTGGGGCGTTGCAGTTTCGAAGCCCTGTAGCAGGTGCGCAGTTGCGGGTGCCGGGGCACCATGTATTTGGCCTTGGCTGAAAGACACAACATTCTCTTGCCATCCCAGTCCCCAAGACCTATATGACAAAATCACAAATGCAATGATACACAGAAAGCTTCCAAAGCGAAACCATAGCTCTTGGTCTGCGCCGTCCGTGATGATGGTGATGGTACGGCTGAATGTTTCGGAAGAAATGTCTCGAAGGCTCCAAAACGCGCAGCGGTCGCTGTACTGCGACACTAGGTGTTGTCTATACAACCGAAGTGCACCCAATCGAATGTCCATTGGTGTAGCCCTGTTCTGAAACCTTTGAGAAATTGAATCTCTTCCAAACATGAAACCACTAGCAGTTTTTAAGGGAACACAAGTGAAATGGTCCCAAATAACCTGTACTGATAAGAGCTTGGAAACTGTTCTTTCAGCTCTTGGCAAACGTCACATTGTGAAAAGGCGCTTTGATCTCGAAACTTCAAGACCAGGGTGCACTTTGCATTCCATTGTCTCACAAACGTTCCGTACCTCAACTGCTCCAAAACCAGTGTGAAAGAAAACTTTCACACAAACATAGTGTCGAAAAAGAAAGACTGTCTGTCATCACTTTATTTTTAAGAAGAGTTACGATGCTTGTCCTGTGACTCGATGCTTTTGGCACCAACCACTGTAGAATTGGTATACCTCGCTCAATGTGCCTGGAGGCAAGTATTTCCTTGTGAGTTTGGAGACATCCTGAGATGGATTCGATCATGAAAAGCAAAACCACACACTTAAACATGCTTCTTTGTGGCCATACAAACAAGTACTGCGTGCGTAGCTGTACACTTAAACAGGTTCTTTGTGTTTACGCCAAGGCACATTGAAAGCCCCAGTTCCAGTCATGTTGACCAGAAAGGATGTGTTTGATTCCAAAAAGTGGGATAAGTCTGCGTCCTCCACTTCCACATCTGATGGGATTGTGAAGTCCTCCTCCTCATCATCATCAACTTTGCTGCTGTGGTGCTTTCGTCTCTTCGCAGGTCCCATGCGGACAAACCTGGTGTGATTTTTTGTTTGCCCTGGACACATCAAGATGATACAAAACAAACAGTGTCAAAGGTGGTACAGTAATTCATCGTTCAAGTAGCTTATTTGGCAGCGGTTCAGCTATGGTGTTGTAGAGAACCATACAGAAAGCGTCGATTGACGATCTCAAAGGGGTCGCCCTTGACCGTGAGCCGAAACGTAGATCGAGAGCGCCCATGCGATCCACTCGATGTGATGAGATCCCCACTAAGCACTGGAAGCATGCACGCTTCAGGTATTTGTCCAAGAACCAGAACTCTCTACGTCCACTTGTATGTCCGGGCAGTTCTTGGTCCTGCAGAGCAAGAAACAATATGGAATCCTAATCTCGCTTGTCTCTTGATTCGAAGATGTCAAGCCAGTGCTGGACTTCATCCAGTTTGAACTGACGGAAGCACTTCCCCTCTGAACATCGGCATGTGCTGTTCAGGAGCTTCTTCAACCTGTCCTTATGGGGATTGGAATGACCAGACCCAAAGAATGCGAGCGAGCCTCCTTGAATTATACATAGAAAAGTTCAAGCAACAGCTCCAAGGGTCAGGGTCATTCCTTTTTGTTTTTTTTAGTCCAGCTGGTTCAGCCTCCGCCTTTCTTTCTGCTGCAGCTCTAGCACGCCCTTCGTTGTTGTACCGTCTCTTCTTCTTGGGTTGCACTGCAGATGCCTCTGTGGTCGCCGACTTGAGGTTGGAGGCCAAAAACTTTGACAAAGTTGAAAAATTCAGCTGCACTCTTGCAATCCGGTCTTTCCCACCGTTTTCCTCACAATCACCCAAATAAGCCGACTTCTCTGATTCAGAAGCGCCATCCCCTGAATCAGTCTCGTCCGGTTCGATCCCGAAAAGGCGACGTGATCCTGCGGGTGGTTCATCTGGTTCCTGAGGCTGAACGACCTTCTCAGAGGCTGAATGACCTCTGGTGGATGCTGGAGGTGGAACGACCTTCTCGGTCTCTGGCAGCTCATCTTGGAACAGAAACGTATCCACACACTCATCAGGTTCCGTTTGGAATAGGCCCGGCTCTTCATCAGCTTCATCTTGAAACAAGAAGGCCATGGGTCATGACAAGTGCCCAGCTTGTGTGATATGCGGTTGACTGCATATACATAAACCCAGCTACGCCTAAGGCTAAATTTGAAGGGGTGCCGGTCTTATCTCAAAACATCTCAAAAGTCTTTGATGGCTTCCTCTTTGTGGCCTGCTGAAATGAACTAACAAAACTGCAACAATCGAGATTGCAGCAGCTGTGTTTACCATTGGCAACAACAAACAGCATCACTCGAGTACCAGGCTTTACGTCGTTTCTTCTGACTTGAGGGCGCCTGGTCCTGCACAAAGGGTCAAAGGCTAATCCCAACAGGTTATATATACATATATGTATGCAACCTTGTCATTTTTGAACCACCCAAGCTTCACCCCAACTGACTCCACAAAAGTTTGTGGTTAAAAGCAACCAAGTTGAAGCA